ACTACACAAGATTTGTGCTAAACATCTCAAATCTCTCACATCTCAAACACGCCGTCACTCCTAAAACTTCTCCCTTCCTAAACATCTAAATGCCATGTTTTGATTGGTCGACATGGTACATTTTTCCACCAATAGGAAAGGTTGTTTTTGTTTTTGCTCTCAGGCTTTCGAGCGCTTTCCTTATTAAACGCTGTTTTTACCGTTTCTTCCCGCAGTAAATATAAACAACGACAGTATTCAGGAAGAAAAACAAACATTGCAGATATTTTATCATAACTCTGGTTTTACGTGGCCGATCAACACAATTTAAAAACTGGTATAAAGTCCACACTTTGTCCGTCAGTTGTTCCGTCTGTCCTGCTCACATCTCCAATGGTTGTACACGTTGTCATTAACGTGGCTTCACTCCACATCAGCCGCTTTCCTCGCTAAAACACCGGTGTCGGCACATAAGGACGCTGTCATAGCCGGTCAGCGACGTTGATCAGCTGCGTATATACGAATGTGAATCGCATTATTGGCTGGACTGTGGGATAAGGTGGCATCGTTCTGATCCAGGGGTGGGCAATCTCAGTCCACGAGGGCCGGTGTCCCTGCAGGTTTTAGACGTGTCGCCGAACCAACACAGCTGATTTAAAGGGCTAAATTAGCTCCTCAACATGTCCTGAAGTTCTCCAGAGGCCTGGTAACGAACTAATCATGTGATTCAGGTGTGCTGACCCAAGGTGAGCTCTAAAACCTGCAGGGACACCGGCCCTCGTGGACTGAGATTGCCCACCCCTGTTCTAATCCCATAGGGGAGCAGCCAGTCACATACTGACTAACACTGCAAAACAGAGTTGTTAAAGTTTTCATTTTAATTTCAATTCAGGTAGATTTTGTTTGTCCACAATGCAGATTTTCTGTGCGCAGAGACGTGCCAGCAGTGCACAATTGTGCACGCACACAGCTTTGAGGGAACATTGGCCCTCATGCTGGTAATCATGAAATGCTTTGAGAGACTAGTCCTCCAGCACATCAATGACTACCTGCCCCCAGAATTTGACCCCTACCAGTTTGCATATTGCGCAAACAGATCCACAGAAGATGTCATGGTGATAGCCCTCCACGCTGTGCTGAGTCACCTAGAGCAGCGGAAGAGCTGCATCCGAATCTTTGTGGACTACAGCTCAGCTTTCAATACAATCATCCCGGACATCCTCATCACAAAGCTGGTCACTCTTGGCCTTGCTCCTCTCACATGTGCCTGGATAAAGGACTTTCTCACAAACCGGCCCCAGACTGTGAGACTCCGCCCTCATCTCTCTTCCACTCGCACACTGAGCACCAGCTCCCCACAGGGCTGTGTGCTGAGCCGCACTCATCCCAAAGAGAGACGAGGCAGCCTACAGAGAGGAAGTCCTGAAGCTGGCAGCACGGTGTTCAGAAAACAACCTGGCACTGAACACTAAGAAAACCAAAGAAGTTTTTGTCGACTTCAGGAGGCACAGCACTGACTTAGACTCCTTTACATCAACGGGGAGCGTGTGGAGAGGGTCCACACCATCCGGTTCCTTGGTGTCCTCATCTCTGCTGACATCTCCTGGACAGACAACATCTTAGCATATGTCAAGAAGGCCCAACAGTGGCTGCACTTCCTGAAGGTCCTGAGGAAGTACAAGCTGGACTCCAACCTGCTGCTGACCTTCTACCGCTCGTCTATTGAGAGCCTGCTTACATACTGCATCACAGGTACGACAGCTGCACTAAGACGGACAGAGTGAGGCTTCAGAGTGTAGTCAAGGCAGCACCGAAGATCAACGGCTGCCCTCTCCCCTCCCTGATGGACATTTATTCCTCCCGTTGCCTCAGCAGAGCAGCAAACATCATCAAAGATAGCTCCCACCCTGGTTTCAACATGTTCAATCTGCTTCCCTCAGGGAAGGTGCATCAGCACAAAGATCCACAGACTCAAGAACAGTTTCCTCCCAAAGACCATAACCACCAGGAAGTCACACACGCACCGATAACACAGTCCCATGTATTTATTTACATATTTACTTTTTTTTTTTTTTTTTTTTTCCTGTTTTTTTTTTTTTTTTTTTTTTTTTTTTTTTTTTTTTACACTGGATTGTATATATTGTATTGTATAGTGTAGAATCCCTCTTTGACAGTTGTCAGAGAACACTACAAAACAGTGTTTGGAAAATTCTGTTTTTTTCATGCTATGTTGTTGAGATAAAAATATCTAACTTGTACAGTATCAGTGAAATGAAAGAGCAGCTGACCAATATAAATGCTGATGCTGATAGTTGTTTTAATAAGACACAGGCTGAATATCAGATCTCAGTGCAACAAGGACTGAGTGACAATCAGATCAGTCAGATAGTGTAAGTTGTTTTTCACCATTGGTATAGCTCAGGGGTCGGCAACCTGCGGCTCTTTAGTCCTTATAGTGCGGCTCCGCGTGGTTTGGGAAAATAAATTAGAAATATTTAGCTGAAGTTTAATTTATTTCTGTTAGTTCTTTTTTTAACTTGTAATTCTAAATCGGAAGATTATTGTGATATTGAAATATATAAATTAAATTATATTCTATTATATTTTCATCACTCATAATAAGCGTCACACTCGCGGAAGCCGGTGTACGAAACGCCTGCATTTATCGAGACTTTCAGCCCCAGGTAGGCCAATTATGGATCTTCGGATCCACATTATGTCAGCAGCTGTTCTCCTCCATGAACTATGGTAACAACAAACACGCTCACGACTCACAGACGACAGCTTACAGTTCTGCGTAAAGATGAAACTGACTTCGTACAGCCCCGACCTGCAGACGCTTTGTTCAGAGGTTCAGGAGCAGAAGTCTTATTGTAAACATATCACGGCAGACCCCACGATGTTTGCATGAACACGCTTTTCAGCTTCTCTTTATTGACCACTTTTCACACACGGCTGCTGTACGCACACAGCCGGCTGTAGCTTTGCAGCTCACAGCCCGACACACACCAACA